TCAAATTCAGGTCCATTGAGTCAGTGTTGCTATCTAACCATCTCATCCTCTGTCACCCTTTTCTCCTTTTGCCTTCAATCTTTCCCAGCATCAGGTCTTTTCCAGTGAGCCAGCTCTTTGCATCAAGTGGCCAAAGTATTGGAGCTTTAGCTTCAGCATTAGTATTCCAGTGAATATTCAGCGTTGATTTCCTTTAGGCTTGACTGATTTGATCTCCTTGCAGTCCAGTTCAGCTTAGTCGCTCAGTCGTATCCAACTCTTTGCGACCCCATGGACTGCAGCACGCCAGGCTTCTCTGTCCATCACCAACTCCCAGAGCTTGCTCAAACTCGTTTCCATTGAGTCAGTGATGCCATCCAACCATCTCATCTTCTGTTGTCCCCTTCTCCTGCCTTCAATCTTTCCCAGCATCAGGGTCTTTTCCAATGAGTCAGTTCTTCACATTAGGTGGCCAAAGTATTGGAGTTTCAGCTTCAGCATCAGTCCTTCCAATGAATATTCAGGACTGATCTCCTTTAGGATGGACTGGTTGGATCTCCTTGCTGTCCAAGGGACTCAAGAGTCTTCTCCAACACCACAGTTCAAAAGCATTGATTCTTTGGCACTCAGCTTACTTTATAGTCCAACTGCTCTATTCAAGGAAGTTCATAATCTTACATGTTCTTTCTACCTCTTGCTTCCCTGGTAGCTTGGACAGTAAAGCGTCTGCCTACAATGCGGGAGACCCAGGTTCGATCCCTGGGTTGGGAAGATCCCCTGGAGAAGGAAATGGCAACACACTCCAGTATTCATGCCTGGAAAATCCCATGGACCCAGGAGCCTGGTGGGCTATAGTCCATGGGGTCGCAGAGTCAGACACGACTGAGCGACTTCTCTTCACTTCTTCTTCACCATAGCCTGAAACATTTTCTCTGCCTAGAAATCTCCCGTCCCAAGCTAATCCACAACTGTCCTTTCTTTTAAAATGTCCCTCAATTCCCTTCTCAAGAAGTCCTTTCATTACAAATCATCCTTGACCCTGATCTCTCTAGGCCCCCTCAGAACTTCAGTGACAAGTTTTATATATGTAGGAAGTAAGCACTTACTTTATATGAAGGAAGTAAGTAGTTTTAAGCAAAATAAGTATTTTATTTTACAACATGTTAAGAGGATAAAAGGTAATACCTGATGAAAAATTTGGTTGAATGAAAGTTAATTTATATTGTCATAGGTGGTTTCTATTTTACTACTTCTCTCACACACATTTCTAGTAACAAAAAAGATAAGAAAAAATAATTTACAAATTCTGTTTCTTAAAGCTCAGTGACTTAGTTCTGATAAACAGGAATGATAAGTTTCAACCTTGGTCTCCCCTGGTGGCTCAGATGGTAAAGAATCTGCCTGCAGTGCAGGAGACCTGGGTTCGATCCCTGGATTAGGAAGATCCCCTGGAGGAGGGCGTGGCAACTCACTCCAGTGTTCTTGCCTGGAAAACCCCATGAACAGAGGAGCTGGCGGGTTACGATACATGGGGTCACAAAGAGTCAAACATGACTGAGCGACTAAGCACACGAGTTTCAATCTTACTGAAATCAGTTCAGCCCACCTATCCCAATCCACTTTAACTCGTGTGCCAAGTCTCCTAACGTGCAGACTTACATTAGAGGATATCAGGTATACTAAAGTTTACCAGTTGGACACTGCTAAATGTGGCTCTAAATGCACCTTTTTAGTGCTAATTAATGCAGCTTTTACTGTAAGAGACACATACTTCTCTTTTATTCTTTCCTTTGTTCTTTTGCTTTCATCTATTCCTTTTTTTTAAACTACAGAAGTAGAGAGCAGTTGCTCAACCGCGGAGTTGCCCACCAGAATGAATATATATTATCAAGGAAATATACAAAACACAATGTTCCACCTCATAAAAAAGTCCGAACAATTAAAATAATAAATACCATTTCATACAGATTGAAAACAGCAAAAATTATGAGCGTGTCATTTCTCCAACACAAGTTTCTTGAGAGTAACTGGTATTTCTCTCATTGCTCCTCACAAATGTTATGGGTTCTAGAATGTAAACTCCCCAAAATAGACATTTTTGTATTTTTTGTTGATCACTATATCTGTAGTACCTAGAAGGGCCCACCCAGCACATAGTAAGTAATCAACAAATATCTGTGGAAGAATGAAGGATATTAGTTCTTAGCAAACATTTGCTGATTAACTGGATGACTGAGAAGCCTTCAGTCAGTTTTCAGAAACTTCAGACCTAGGAATGAGCACTCTATTGTCATGTAGTTCATGATGCCCAGAAAGGTCTCTATTGCTACTAACTCAGATCATTCAGTTTTGTGTTTCAACAATTATTATAATCTTCTACTTAACCTTTGGACCGTGAACTTTCTTCATGCCAATTTATAACCGACGGACTAATCTTTCCAGAGTACCACTTTCATAATGCTACTACCCTGCTCAAAGGTCTTTCATGACTTGTATACATCACCTACTTAAAAGATTTAAATTTTTAGCTTTGTACCCATGGCCCTCAGTGACCAGGACCCCATTTACTTGCTTTCCCTGTGTCATTACCCAGAACTCCTGGGCAGAACTCCTCAATTCCAATTAGTCCAGGTGTACTTATGTCTTCCTCAAATCATCTTCTATGTCTCTGTATTTATTTGCTTGCTCATGGGTCTTAAGAGTCCCAAATTCTGTTATTCAGCCTAGGGCCCTTTTTTGAACATCCAAATTATAATTCTGTGAGCCTTCTCTCTTTAAGTTACTTTCAGAATTTCTTAAGAATGCTCTCAAATTCTGGAAAATCATTCTGTTGTTGCTTGTCACCATGGTTGGTTTTTTTCACCCCAGAAAAATCCTCCACCCTCAGCTGATCACAGTTGACTCTTTCAAAGCTGGCTTTCACAGGCTGTTACTGTTCTCCAGGGACAATTTTGTCCCAGGCATGTTCCCAGGCTGCATATCTAATCCCACACAGTACAGCTAAATCCGAATTATAGTAGTTTGCAAAATTTTACAAAAGGCTTAGAAACAGCGAGAGGAAATACTGCATTATCGATATTCCTGGTCCCTACTCGCCCACCGTTCCCCGTCTCTCCACCACACCTGCAGTCACACTTCAAGGGCCAGCTTCTCTCCAGCAAGTAGACTCAATCAGGAAACAGATACTGAGTGTCAATTAAGTGCCAGGCAGTGTGCTACACATTGGGGATGAACCAAATAGACAGTTCCTGTATTCAAGACAGTAATTAAATAAATTATTACAAATAATTGGTAAAATAATTCTAAGTATGCAAAATGCTGCCAAAGAAATACCTGGAGTACAATTTTAAGTCCTCTACATTCTTTAGTGGCCTGGGGGCGGGGGTGGGGAGTGGGGTGGAAACCAGTTCCCATCTCTTACAGATATCTAATCAAATTAGTAATGGTATAATCTGTAGAAAAGCAATTCTGACCTTAAGAAAGAAGTATTTTATATTATGCAGACAGTTTAGCTCCAATTTTTTTTTTTTTTTTCTAATTTCCTCCATGGAGAATGAAAAGAGCCAAAATGCACGAACACTTAAACTATGTTCTGGGTACCATTCTAAGCCCAATATATATTAATTTAAATAATTTCCACAATAACCAATGAAGGGGTCCTACTATTTTCCCCATTTCACAGATAAGGCAGCTAAGGCTCAGAATGATTGTAACTAGCTCAAAGTCACACAGCAGGTAATGGCAGAATTAAGAATCCATGCAATCAGACTGCCAGCCCAAATTCTTTATTACTGGGCTATTACACCTCTCAATACAGAGAATTTGCATAATCCTTTCTCAACAGTGCATTCCTGTCTTCCGCCTCTGAACGCCCACCGCAGGGCCTGGCTCAGAGCGCCCCGCCACATCACGCTTCTCCACTCACTGCACTGTTTCTCCTAGTTGCTGCCACCCTACTAGCTCCTCTGTAGCAGCCAGAGGAGACCCCTCCTAGGTCTGGTTCACAGCGATCACTTCCATCTCTGAATTCATGTACAATCACTGTGCACAGACACCTCTTACAGATTATGTTCTCTACTAGGTTTATAGCAAGTGTGTTTCCCCAAAGTAAACAGCACAGTGCCTTGCACAGAACTGGTACTCAGAATTATTAAGAGAGGGTCCCTGGGTTGTAGGGGTCTGTATGATAGGCAGCAAGGTCAGTGGCAAATGGACATTTTAGTTTTTGATTTTATGTTTTTTATGATTTTTTAAAAAAAATCTATGGATATTATGATCATATCTGGAAAATACTTTCAATAAACATTTAACATACCAAAGCAGTGTGCTAAGTATTAGAAGTAAAATTGACTCTTTCCTGAACTATATACATAAATTGCCAGCTGCCTTCCAGGTACAACTACAGGTTCAAATCTAAGACTATTATCCTGATCCCTGCAACTCAGAAACGCATATTCCAAACGGCTCTTCCTCAGGGTTTAGGCTCCCCATCATCATCTTTGGGGTACATGTCAATCATTAAAAAGATCAAACTTATATATTCATTGTATGAGGGTAATGAGGGGCTTCCCTAATAGCTCAGTTGGTAAAGAATCAGCCTGCAATGCAGAACACCCTGGTTCAATTCCTGGGTTGGGAAGATCTGCTGGAGAAGGGATAGGCTACCCACTCCATTATTCTTGGGCTTCCCCGGTGGCTCAGCTGGTAAAGAATCTGCCTGCAATGCGGGAGACCTGGGTTCAGTCCCTGAATTGGGAAGATCCCCCGGAGAAGGGTAAGACTACCCACTCCTATATTCTTGCCTGGAGAATTCCATGGACTTTATATAGTTCATGGGGTCTCAAAGAGTCAGGAATGACTGAGCGACTTTCACTGTCAGTGAGGGGACAGTACTACGACACCCTGTAGTTTACTCGTCTGCCAACTTAACAATACCATGAGAGCAACCCTCTTTGTTTATACAGCTCTTGAATTAGTGGTGGGGCAGCTCCAATTTTATTACATAATAAAAGAGTTTTCAATTATGCTCAGAACATTTTCTTTTATTGAGAATTTTAAGTGGGACAAATGAAACAAAGGAATTGTTATGCTTTTCACAGTTCCAGAAACATAAATCTTCATGCAATGAAGAAACATAATTAAATGAAACTTAAATTTTAAAAGCTAACGATTCACATGAATGATTCACGGTTAGACATGTTTAGTTTTCTTTCACAATTTCAATCCAGAATTAACTGGCTTCTAAAATAAAATACATGGAATATTGAAGACTCACTTGAAACTTAATGTAACAAATATGAAAAAGATTTTTAGTTCTTTGTGACTTTCTGTAAAAATTCCATAACTGTACCAGTGTAGATTATGTTAGGGGTAAAATTTGGTTCCTGTGTTGGTATTTCACAAAGATTTAAAGAAAGGCATCTTGGTATTTTCTTCTGCTCTATGCAGGTTCTTTACATTTTACTTGAATTAACTTGCAGAGTAAATGTCTATCTGTAAATCAGTGTTAAAATAAAAAATTGTTAAAGAAAAAAGAGTAAGTATAGATAACCTGAAAAAATATTAAGACACTTCCCCCATGCCGTAACAGTGGTATAAAACATGAACATGACGCTTGAAAGGATCCACAATAAAGTAAGAAAATGTCTGTTCGTGACTCTTTGTTGAAGGGTAGCACACACCAACAGAATCCTGAAAAAGATGAATGTATTTAATATACAGCTACATTTGAGTAATAATCAACACATTTAGCTATTATGTATTTTCTATTAAAATATCATGAAACACATATTAAATCTTTGACAGTAAGTTGGACAGCACAGCTTACCATGCCAACAATACATATAATACTATACACACATGCATACTTCTTGACTTTAAGGAATTTATAATCGAGGAAATTCTATCTTTTAAAAAAGTGCTAATATAGAAAAAATAGTTTTGCATTTTTCTTCTATCTTTGCTTTTGTTAGAACATAGTCTATACATACTATTTGGGCTGGGACTATGTTTCTTTTGTTTAACCCTGGACTCCAGCCCAGCACAGTAGCTGATACACAGTAGGAATTTTAAAAATAATTATTCAGTGATTGAATAGTTAGAAACTGCTTCATATGTATAATATTTTGTGCAATGCTAAAATTCAAGTATCAGATTCTGTGATATAAAAACATTTATGTCATTCTTACTTACTTGTCCTATAAATCTGGTTTGACAAGTTTAAGGAACTGTGTTCTACCTCATCTGAGCTACAGATTTAGCTCTAAAGTAAGAAATAACTATTATTAGGCATGGATAACAGAAAAGCTGGGAGGAAAAGTTCATACTGTTCTCCAAATAAAGAACAGTTCATCAACTTTTAAGAGAAAACTATTAAGTTTATGTTAACTATGTTCTGTGCATACATGTATGAAGTAAAAAAGGAAAAGTGTTAAGTCATTCAGTTATGTCCAGCTCTTTGGAAGATCCCATAAACTGTAGCCCACCAAACTCCTCTGCCCATGGAATTCTCCTGTCAAGAATACTGGAGTAGGTAGCCATTCCCTTCTCTAGGAGATCTTCCCAAACCAGGGACTGAACCCGGGTCTCCCGCATTGCAGGCTTATTTACTGCCTGAGTCACCAAGGAAGTGTATACACATATACGTTCTATTAACCATGCCTCTCCTAGTTGCTAACTCCAGTTACAACAATCCTTTTAATAACAATTAAATTGATTGGCTGCAAATTTCCCCCTCAACACTTACATATGCTGTAACTTTAAAAATAGAAGAGGTAATTTGTATTTTCTTGGTTTGAGGATTCTTCCGAACACTAAAATAGGGGGCAAAAGGGAACATTTTAAAATTCAGCAAACACTAGTATAATATATTTAAGATACAGATCCCTTTTAGTACTTGGGTGTCCTCATTCACATATAACATGGAAATACAAAATATCTAATTAAGTAGTTTGAAAAGGATGGTATCTGTGGTTTCAGAAAGGTTGACCGAATGGAAATTGCAGAAAATGGAATTTTTCAGTTAGAAGGTTTGAGGTCAGTTTGAGACTCAGATGATAAAAGCACTCTCAGGCCAGAGACAACTATTGACAAACAAGAATAGGTTAAAGTTCGACTTAAGGGTAAACAGCTGAAAGGGGTAGATAAAAGCATACTAAAGATTTAAACAGCCTGAACATAAATGCCAGTTCTGTCACCGATTTGTTATTCTACTTTAAGCAAGATTAACCTTTCTGAACATCAGTTTTGTCATATGTGAACTCATGACTTGGTTCCTTTTAGGATTATATGAGAATTAGGTAGAATAATATCTATGAAAACTATCTGTTATATCATGTATTCCTAAATTAAAATCACTTTCTCTCCTAGCTCTCTTTCACTTATTCTCCCCACAAAAGGTAATCTTTAGTAATATATAGTGCGGAAGCAAACTGAGGATTGGGGAAATAAATTACTTAATTTATACATAAATAAATACATGTTAAATTTATAATGCTTTACAATCTTCAAAAAACCTTGTTATACTTTACTTCACATAAAGATCACACAATTCAGTGAGGTAGGCATCATTTTGCCAATTTTATAGACAATAGAACTAGAGAAGTTAAATGATATATTTAAGACATTCCAACTAAAAGTGGCATTTCCGGAAATAGAATGTAGGTGATACAGAGTCCAGTTTTCTTTCTCTACATTTCACCTGTTTATCCTATACTTGTGCTATAAATTCATATGCATCAAAGGTACTGTTCGTGTGTTATGTGTGTAGTTTAAATTTAAAGGAAGGGAACCCTCTTCACTTTGTCAGGTGAGATTATTGCTTTCCCTTCACTATGTATGTAAAAAGAATGGGGGAAAAGAGAGACGAGCAGGAAGAAGGGGGCTCTGGGGGAGGGTATGCATGTACGTGTGTTTGAGCTTGGGCACCTGTTGGAGGTGGCCACACATGGACCATTTCAGGGTTCAGGGTTCAAGATTCTTAGGGAGTTTCATCCTGAAAACATTTCACTAAGATTGAAATCCAAGAATCATGCAATTATATTGATTTCTATTTCTGTAACATGAATTGAGGTCATCTTCTTTCATTTCTGATGCCTAAGATACACTGCTTGAAAGTTGGAGACTACATTTAAAACTTCATGCTTATTGTAGGGAAGACTGTAACCACTACATATAAAACATTTATATATACCTATATGACCACCCAGATTAAAATACAGAACCTATCTATAGTTATATCTAATTTTAAATCTTGATCTGGAGGTGGTTATATGGGTATAGAAATATATAAAAATTCACTGAGCTTATGTGTACTATGATTTGTTGAGATTACTGTATGCAAATTACTCCTTAGTTTAGAAAAGTCTAAAAAAAAAGAACCCTTGTAAATGTTTGTGCTTATCAGATGAACTTGGAGGAAAATTTAATATTTGATACTACATATAATAATCACTTAACACCTACAAACATGTACCATAGATGTCTTAACAAAAACCACTACAATATTGTAAAGTAATTAGCCTCCAACTAATACAAATAAATGAAAAAAAAAAAAAACACTACATTGGTACACTATTAGAAGTTGGTTAGGGCTTCCCTGGTGACTCAGAGAGTAAAGCGTCTGCCTGCAATGAGGGAGACCAGGGTTCAATCCCTGGGTTGGGAAGATCTCCTGGAGAAGGAAATCTCCAGTACTCTTGCCTGGAAAATCCCATGGACGGAGGAGCCTGGTAGGCTACAGTCCATGGGGCTGCAAAGAGACACGACTGAGTGACTTCACTTTCACTATTCCTAATAGATATAAATATTATTCTACTTTACTACCTCTGATCTTGTATTACTTTAAAATATCTCTAAGACAATTTGTCTAATTTTTATAGATCAAGTAAAGTACAGTATTATCTGTCCACATCTCATAAGAAAAAAAGAGAAGGAAATGTAAAGTGATATTTATTTCTGTCCTGGGGTGTTCAACTGACAATTACATTGTATCAGATTTTTAGCACTCACTAACTCACTCTGAACTGAACTGAACTGACTGAACTCACTCTCCAAAAACTGGTTCCAAATCAGGAAAGGAGTACGTCAAGGCTATATATTGTCACCCTGCTTACTTATATACAGAGTACATCATGAGAAATGCTGGGCTGGATGAATCACAAGCTGGAATCGAGATTGCTGGGAGAAATATCAATAACCTCAGATATGCAGATGACACCAACCTTATGGCAGAAAGTGAAGAAGAACTAAAAAGCCTCTTGATGAAAGTGAAAGAGGAGTGAAAAAGTTGGCTTAAAGCTCAACATTCAAAAAACTAAGATCATGGCATCTGGTCCCATCACTTCATGGCAAATAGATGGGGAAACAGTGTCAGACTTTATTTTGGGGGGCACCAAAATCACTGCAGATGGTGACTGAAGCCATGAAATTAAAAGACGCTTGTGCCTTGGAAGGAAAGTTATGACCAACCTAGACAGCATATTAAAAAACAGAGACATTACTTTGCCAACAAAGGTCCGTCTAGTCAAGGTTATGGTTTTTCCAGTAGTCATGTATGGATGTGACAGTTGGACTATAAGGAAAGCTGAGCACAGAAGAATTGATGCTTTTGAACTGTGGTGTTAAGAGAAGACTCTTCAGAGTCCCTTGGATTGCAAGGAGATCCAACCAGTCCATCCTAAAGGAAATCAGTCCTGAATGTTCATTGGAAGGACTGATGTTGAAGCTGAAGCTGCAATACTTTGGCCACCTGATGTGAAGAGCTGACTCATTTGAAAAGACCCTGATGCTGGGAAAGATTGAAGGTGGGAGGAGAAGGGGAAGACAGAGGATGAGATGGTTGGATGGCATCACCGACTGGATGGACATGGGTTTGGGTAAACTCCAGGAGTTGGTGATTGACAGGGAAGCCTGGCATACTGCAGTCCATGGGGTCACAAAGAGTCAGACATGACTGAGCGACTGGATTGAACTGAAGTCACTCTCCAGGTACCATGGTTTTTAAGGATTTTGGAACATAATTTCCACATAGTTCTTTTAAAAAATATGATTAGGGAATTCCCTCATGATCCAGTGGCTAAAACTTGGTGCTTTCACTGCCGGGGCTCCTTGTTTGATACTTGGCTGGGAAACTAAGCTCCTGAAACCCCCACAGCACAGCCAAAAAAAAAAAAAAAATTGAATGTTAAAAGTATGATTATATTAATGGTTTAGAAATAAAATAATATGATGATTGATTTCTTATCAATATTATTTGTGCTAATTTCTAAGGATTTGTCTCATATTGACTCTAAATGTCATGGTTTACAGACATAGCTAACTCTGCTCATTTTAAGAAACAATAATCCTACTGCTTAATAAGCATCAGAAGGCCATAATCTAAGCCTAAACCAGTTCAAATCATAAATCTTGGGGAGATATGTAGTTTGGGAAACCTCTCGAAAAAATCTGACAAGTGTGTTTAATGTCTAAAATAGGAAAGACACAGGCACTGTTAGTGAGTATAGAATTATGTCTAAGACATTTTTGAAATGTAATGAAACGATTGACCATTTACTCTGATAAAATGATTCTAAAGTATTGCCTATGTGATTGAAAGAAGCCATAATCCTTGAAAATAAGGCATTTTCCAAAACATTTAAAAGATGTCTATTATAGGAGTTACATTAATAATTATGGATGAGGGAAAAATACCTTAAGAATGTTTTTACCCTTTTGTTTGAGCTAGAGACCCCTAAAATCAGGCTCTGTAATGTGTGCCCTCAATATCTACTGATACAAATATAAGGGATCAACTTCTTTGCTAGAATTAAATAGTAACAATGTTTACACCTGCAAGTGCAGGTTAGATACTGTAAGGTAGCCACTGCATGTATAATTAGAAAGAAAGCAGATATTTTTTCTAAAGCAGGTAAAAACACCCAAATTTCAAGTAAAGGAACAGAAAAAAATATTCTTCTTGGCTAAGTTAGCTTGTACAAATGACACGACTAGATATGTGGCTCAGAATTCTGAGAAATTACTGATGATACTGCAAGTCCCACCTGTGCTTTCTCTACTTCTATATCCCTTGATAAGGGCTATGTTGAACCACCCTGTATCTTTATCTTAACCAAGATGTTTATTCTAATCATAGTTTTCTACTGAAATTGCATTGAGAAGACAATTTTATATCTTTTCCTCATTCACCAAAGAAACTCATAAGCATACTTAAACTTGGGTCATCGAGAGAAATATTTAATAGTTCTCAAAGAAAAGTAATGCTCTAACTGGCTAGTCTTCTTCTCAGTCTCCCTACAATGACAGACTTGGGGTGCATCGCCCCTGAATTGGGAACAGGCTGCCGTCCTCTTTGCTGGCCCTTGTGGACTCCATTCCATCAAGAAATTCTTGACCACTTGTACCCACACTGACAATGTCTTCTTTTGAACTTCTGAGATTTTTATTACAGTATAAAGAGCTATAAACATTTGCCTATACATAACTGAGCATTGAATTATATAAACAATACTTACTTATGAAATATTTAAGCAATTACTTTATTATTATTTCCTATGTTAACTTGTAATTTTCTTAAAGTCAGAGACTACCTGATGCCTCCTCTTGTACTCTTCAGTGCCTGCCAGAGTTCCGTGCCCAATATTAACACTTGCTGGTGGCCTAATCAAGTGATTCCATGGATGCAGTTCCTATTCTTTGTATAAGATGTCATGAATTTTGGCTACTCATTTTATGAGTGGCCATTACTCTGAGTATGTATTTCTTAGCACCCTCAAAACACAGAAGAATCGCCAAGAATTCAGGGACAAGTATGTGGGAAAAAACTGCAGTTTCTGTGATGTTTAGGTTCTGAAGTTGTTTCAAGTATCTTTAACAGAATCTCTTCCTCCACAGCACATGGCAGTGAGGAATTCCACAGGTTCCTGTGGCTGGTGAGGGACAGCACACTGTGGTGGCCGTGGCGTGTGTGTGTTTGGGTATCTACTGGGAGTGTTAGAAGTTGTCTTGTAAGTTTTCATGGGCTGCAAACGATAAGAATATGTTTGACGTGTAGGTATGTGTGTGCTGCTTCTGAAATTGTTTCTGTAATTTCTCATCTAATAATCTCTATGAATTGACACAATAACTTTCATAAAAATCAGAAACAGATTATGGAAATATTTTTGTCTTTAAAACTGTATCAGAAATAAACCCAGTAGAGTAACTGAACCATGCAGTTTGTTATATGGCTGTATGACACGTGTGATGGATGTGAGAATCAAGATGTTGAGAATAAGTAAAGCAGTAAGAGTCTGATGGGAAGCTAGTTCTACTGTTTGCCTATTAAAGTAAAAATTTGTAACCAAACTCTGGGAACCTTTGCTTTTACTTTTTCCTATCCTGTTTGCCTAAAAACATGATCCGATATCTTCATCACTGAAAAACCCAACTATAGAATGTTCACTCGAATTAAAATAAATCAAAGTTCTTATCCTCATGTGATCTTCAAAAAGAAAAAAAAGCCCTAGTGCAATTCCAAAAACAAATTTAGGATTAATTTTGAAAAGATAAACACCTCAGTGAAAATTCTTCCCCCTCTTTAGAACAAAGGTAATTTTTTTACTATTATTTATTAGTATTAGTCAAGCAAGTTCAAACATCCTGAGGGATCTCATGTCTCCTTGAGATTTACAAGGAGGCCTGGGGGAAAAGGGAGACCTGGAAGACAGCAGCTGCCAGTAAGGGATGGAGTGAGTGACAGATCTGGCTGAGGAAAGGTCAAGAGGCAGAAGAGAGAACTGAGGACCAAAACAGGGTCAGGGAAATGAAATGTTCTAGTTTGGAAGTGAAGAAGGAGGCTCTGAGGAGAGCGCCAGAGTAGTGCTATTTTTATTCACTTTGGTTATTAATAGATCCACAAATAGAGGTTGGGTAATCTCACCAGAGTTAAACAATTTCCTCTACTAACCAGAGATTTACATATTGTAATAGAGCAACATTACCTCACTAGATCCTTATAGATAAGCTTTGTTGTTTCCAGATATGGACTAATTACATCTTCATATTGACAAAGAGCTCCACCAAGGCAAAGATGTTTGAAAAGACAAAACAGGAACTCTTCTCTATCTGGTTGGCTGAATACTTCATATTTTTCTGAGTCTTCCACTAGCAAAACCTATATAAGATGATAAAATTCATCTTAATGTAACATAATTTGAGGTTCTAATTTTTATGCTTTCAAAAGTTTCAATTTATAGTTTAAAAGTGATTTTAGACCTATTTTAAGAACCAATCCAGAGGCCATGGAGAAGATCTGTAAGACCTGTGCTTATTTTCCCTCCATTTTATCATTAGGTAATGACACTCAGTGAAAGGAATAAATCTGAACCTTAGCCTTCTCTTCTGTTGCTTTCTTTGTTCTAGTTTAATCTTTAATACTTTAGTGCTATTGCAATTTTAGCCTTGAGACACTGTGAATCTCATTTGGAAACAATGGGGGTATAAATAAATGGAGAAACTTCTCCATCTGCTTCCACCAAGTAGCTAAACAAAAATGGTCATTTTCTAAGCCCTCTCATAGTGTTTGGATTACTACTTTCCTTATGCCCGCAGTTACTCCATTTTGAACTGTTCTGGTAGCTGGAACCTCATAATCACCTCTCTTTTATTCCTGCTCTCCTAATAATATCACCTTACACATCACCAACCTACATGGACTCCTGCTCTCTTGAGCCCTTGCTACCTCTTTCAGCAAACAGTTTGGCTAGCTCTGATGTGGAGGATTTTCTTACACCATTGTGCATTACAGACAATTGATTAATTTGTTGACCATGGTGGACATAAACAGGTGATGAATGTACAATACAAAATATATTTCTTTTATTGAATTGTTATATACCACTTACTTGAAAAAAGAATGTGAACTAAGCTAACAATAAAATATAGATACACTAAGATAAAAATAATAAGAAACAAAAGAATGTAACCGAGACATAAATTGGGAAGAGAAAATAAATACATGTATGAAACTCTAGATGGAGAAAAGCTATAAAAACTGTGTATAACACTTAATACTACCATACAGGTAAAGGAGGGACACGTGAGTCATATAACAATCACAGTCTAGCAGTAAGAAGCACATTTTTATTAGGAAAATTGATTAAACTTAACCACGTTATTTACCTTAATCTCAAATGAAAATCACCCCAAGGTCATTATATAAAGAGGCATTTAAAAATAATAAACTTTATGGTACTGTCTGTATATAATTTACCTATAATGACTTGATGAAAGCCAAAGTATACGCAGTACAAGATGGGTGAGGGCTTCCCCGATGGCTCAGCGGTGAAGCTTCCGCCTGCCAACGCAGGAGACACAGGTCTGATCCCTGGTCTGGGGAGGTCCCACGTGCTGCAGAGCGTCTAAGCCCGTGCGCCACACTGAGTCCGCGTCCCCGAGCCCAGGGCCACAACCACTGAGCCTGCGTGCTGCAGCTCCTGAAGCCCACACACCCTAGGGCCCGTGCTCTGCCACAAGAGGAAGCCTGCGTACTGCAGCCAGAGGAGCCTCTGCTCGCTGCAAGCAGAGAAAAGCCCACCCAGCAACAAAGATGCAGCACGGCTATGAATAAAAAAGTAAATAAAATCAAAAGAGAGAGGCGAGAAGAAGTGGTCCACAGTCTATTCTTCTCTGTGTGCCACAGGTAACACTTGCACATCTCCCCTCCGTCTCTTCCTCTCTCTCGATAAGGAAATGATGTGATTCTGAAACCCAGGTTTGCAGCTGCTTAAAGCTCTGGCCCTTAAAGAACAGTTCACACATTTCTAACACAAAGGTTCTCATGTACTTATCTGATTAGGCTGTGCAATTAAAAGATTGTAGTAGAAAAATTTTGTAGTGAATGTTAAAACGATGCTGCTTTATGTCTGATCTCCCTGTTTGTTCACATACAGATCTGTTCAGTTGTGTAGCCCTCCGAGAGTAGACATGCAATAGTTAGTGAGTCCAACTTCCGAGCCCCAGTCAGGAAGGAGACTATGATCAGCTCTCACCTGAGAGCTGGCCTACAGGGTCTGTGTTGCTACACATTGGGAGGGCCCTTTCCAGTTCAGGCTATTTATATATATATTTGTAGCCAGAAAGCAACCAAGTTAAAGCCTTCTCTGTTGCCACAGAAAGGCAAAGAACACAAGAGCACAACAGAGGCAAGCAGCAAAAAACACGGAGCCCCAACACCTCCTGAATAGAGGTGCTATTCCCAGCAATAAATAAGACAGGCAGCAACAGGTGGTTTTGCAAAGTATTCTGTTGAAAACCAAATCCTTTTAAAAAGTCCATTGCTGAGGTTCTCTATAGAAGTGAGGGCACAGGAGGGAGAGTTCTTTTAGGTACTGTTCTAGTGACGATCAATATATAGACTAGTGGGATGCCCTCTGGTCTCCTTCAGATAAGATTTCTGTGTCCAGAATGGTATACCAGTGGCTTCCCTAGTTCATTTTTATCTGGATTTGTAATACATTAGACTTGTACATCTCTCTTAATGTAGAATAATAATAATAGTAATTAGTAGTAGTAGTTAATATTATTGAAAGATTACTAAGCGCTGGGCGTTGTATAAAGCATTTTAAATGCATCATCTAACAAAATTCTTTTTTTTTCTTTTTAAAAAAAATTATTTATTTATTTTACTTTACAACATTGTATTGGTTTTGCCATACATTGACTTGAATCCGCCATGGGTGTGCATGTTTTCCCCATCCTGAACCCCCCTCCCACCTCCCTCCGCATCCCATCCCGCTGGGTCATCCCAGTGCACCAGCCCCGAGCACCCTGTATCATGCATCCAACCTGGACTGGCGATTCATTTCACATATGGTAATTTACATGGTTCAATGCCATTCTCCATATCATCAAAATTCTTACATTATTCTGATTTCATATAAGAAACTGAAGCTTAGAGAGGTTAAGTATAACCGTGATTAAGTGGCAGGGCCTGAATTGGAACCTACATCTATTTGATAGCCCTAATTTTTTACCACCTTTAAATAATAATAATTCATTTCAACAGGATTTCATAAATGCTTTCTCAACAATTTTAGAAAGAAAGTAGAATGGGCATTTTAATTTCCATAGTGTATAGATAAGATCTTGAGGCTCAAGATACTGAATGACTTGCCTAAGGTTATTATTCTCTTGTAAATAATAAATCAGGAATTAGGTGAATAATCCATGTCTTCTGATATCAAGTTTAGTACACCTCTGATTAAAACAAAAATTAACTTGGTTAATCAAATAGCTTTTTGATCCCAGCAATGAGATTGAAAGATTATTTCACTCCAGGGATGTTTTTAAGTACTCATTTCACAAGTTAAGGGAAATTTTAAAGAAAAATAGTCATCAATTTAATAGGCCAGTGTTTCTTGAGCTCAGGGTTTACTGACATTATGGGCCAGATAACTTTGTTTTGGGGACTGTCCTGTGCATTGTATGTTTAACATCCCTGGTCTCTACCCCTTAGATGTCAGTAAAACCCCATTCTCTTGTTATTTTATTTGAAATATGCAAATAAACAAGTTGATAAGAAAAGTGCCATTCAAGAAGACACCTACCGTGCAATGATTATTACTGATCATTATTCATTGATAAGAGGTATTTTACAGGTTTTAGGCAGGCAGAAGTTTTTGACATCAAGCATTTCCTGAAATGAAATTCTATTGTGAAAATTTTAAATTCTGTACTTACTTTTCGTAACTCATCAGAAATAAGGAAGGGATCACAAAAAGAATCTAGACATTTAACAATATATCCATTGTCTCGTACAATAGCTTCATCATATAACCGATTAAAAAATGACATTGAAAGCTGTGTGCAAGGAACGTTTATAGCTTCAATTTTTTTCACTTCAGTTCCTGAATAAAGATAAAAAAATTAATTTAGTATTCTCAATTATTTCCAAACAAATATCACTATGCAGAGATTCTAACAATTAACAAAAAAAAGACATATGTTTTGATATATTTAAAAGACACATTAGTTTAGGGATTTTATTAAATTCTTATTTTGTAGGTTGTTTATTTTTATTATTAAAAATTTATAACCAAATTTCACCATTTCAGACCTAGATAAAGGATATGTAAATTAGAAAATATCAGCACTTGACAATGAAATACATTTATTGGGTAGTAGGAAGTTCTTAGATCACTTTTAATGAATGATATCAGAACTACCTGTAAAAACATAGAAATTGCTTCATATGATTTTGGATTTGTATTATGTTTAATGCTTTATAATTCATAATACAAAATTTTTAATCAATGTAACAAGTGTGTTTCTAAAGTTATTGAGGGTGTTTTGAAAATGTTTCTCTCCATTAAAAAATTTCCTCCTGTGATCTCACTGACATTGTTTATTACAAAAAAAGTTTTCTTCAAGCCAAGGTAAATTTCGAACCAGGTCCTACTCAAGTTATTACAAGTATGGAATTAGAGAAATTTGAAATCTATTGCTCTAATCTGGTATTCTATTTTTCTCTTTCAGCTCTAGTTTTTCCCCTTTCAAACCTATATTCCCCCCCTGACATTTCCAGAATGTGTCTTTCAGGAGTGTATTTTCCATTAATAGAGGTTCTATTAAGTGATAGAAAGTTATAAAGATTAAGGCGAATATTTTTATCATTGCCTCAGTGAATCACTCAATCAGTTTCTCTCTTTTGCACACCTGCATATGAACATGCACTCACTCAGATATAAAGGGATGGGGTTCTCCTTGTTCAAAGTTCTAGGAAGACTGCAGACTTAGATGTGGTGTGTCCTCTCCCCAATACCTTTGCTGATCTCTGATCTGAGAAGCAGTTTGAGCTTGAGAAGAGTAATATTGGTGATTATTTGCAATTCTTCCCTCTTGTCCACCCAGAGTCCTGGCTAGGAACTATTGCACTCGTTCTGATCCTGAGCTGGGCTAGTGTGGAGGCAAGATGAGCGTCTGGAGCCAAGAACTGCGTGTGTGAGTCACTCAGCTGTGTCTGACTCTGTGCCCCATGGATACAAGGCTTCCCTGGTGGCTCAGATGGTAAAAAACTGTGTTCGCCTCAGTTATTTCAAAAGCTCCGCTGCTAAGAAAAGCTCCTTTTGTTTCAGAGGCAAAATCCTCTGGGGGATTAAAGTGAAAAGAAGATCCTGGAAAGTGATGAAGTAGGTCTGAGCAATATTGGAAAACCAAAGAACAAGAGCAGCATAAAACCAGACAATCTTTGACGATGAGTTGGTGGCCACAGGATGAGGGACTGGCACCGGGCAACTTGCCACTTTAATAAGTCTACCCTGGGTCTGATGTGGGGAGTGGCAGGAGGGTACGGCTGCTGAGAGAACATAATTAAATTCAAACCACTTAGTCTGAGACACAGAAATAGCATTTGCTGTGGACTGAACTGTGTCCCTCCAAAACTCATAATGTTAAAACCTGTCCCCCAAAGTGATGGTACTTTGAGATGGAGTCTTTGGATAAAGTAATGAGGTCACAGGGGGTTAGGAGGATCTCAACATATGAAGTTTGAAGGGACACAATTCAGTCCATAGGCTTCTGCCCTTGTCCCCCTCCTAAATTTATTTTATCCCGACAACCTCAAAAGTCTCAGTTCATTCCAGCATCAACCAAAAGTTTAAAGTCCAAAGTGCCGTCTAAATATCATCTAAAGCAGATATGGGTGAGACTCGAGGTATAATCTGTACTGAGGCAAAACTCTTCAGCTATGAACCTGTGAAATGAGACAAGTTACAGGCTTCCAGAAAACAATGGTGAGACAGGCATAGGACAGACATTTGTAGTCCAAAAGGGAGAAACAGGGAAGAAGAAAGAGGTGATGGTCCCAAGCCAGTCTAAAACTTGGCAAGGCAAATTTCATTAGACTTTAAGCCTCAGGAGTAATCCTCCCTGGTCCAATGCTCTGCTTGCCAGACCTACTGGATGGTGGCCCCGTGTTTCTCCTTCCGAGGGGAGTGTGTCACTGACACTGAGGGGCGGCCCTGATGATCTCTGAATTCCCTTCTCAGTCCCTCTCTTTTCTTGACAAATAGCACATGCTTGCAGCTGAACGGCTCCATGGGCCACCCCAAATAAGATTTCACCCAAGCACCCTCATGTTAGTGGACTCTTACCTGACCCTCTTCTCTTGGGTAGAATTGACCACTCCCTTCCTTTTGCTCCCATTGCTATGGGATATACCACTGATATATTACTGCACATATTTTCAAACATAATAATGAGTTCCTTGAGTACAGGATTTCTCTTATTCTAATTTCTCTTACCTCTGCAGTGGGCCCTTGGGGGGGAAGATGTATGGCAGGCCTGGCACAGACGATTATTTTGGCTTTGTTGTTATCAAACATGAGTCATTATTCATAATTTGTATTTTGATAATGAAAATTCCTGAAGTGAAATTTTGTTATAATAGTAAAATAGTAATATGAAGAGATGAAAATAAATTTTGTTTACCTAATGTAATCCACTCTCCAGAAGATTCTGAAAGTAACTTCAAATTGGGAATAACATTTGGATCTTTGAAAAAGGCCTAAAATACACATTTGAAGGGAACAAAGTTAGTTACATTATTATACACAATAATAAGAAATAACTTCTAAAATAACTAGAGTAGAATCTTATTTAAATTGGGGAAGGGAAATCTTTAATTGGTAAAATGTCTAAATAATTAATGTGTCGTAAAGAAATGAAGTTTTGTTACCTTCACTTTAGAACAGTATTAACAATACTGTAATGTCCAAGTAGCTACCTTTGGAACTTAATATAATAAATAGAAAGTTATGATTTACAGTGAAAAGTAGGAAGTTAAATAGCGTTTGGAAATTTTGTTTTCTTTTAACCTCGTTCTCCCAATTAACTGACTTAGTAATCATTACTCCCACTCTCCCTAACTCCCAAATCTAAAAAGTAAAGTGAAAGTGAAAGTTGCTTAGTCGTGTCCAACTCTCTGTGACCCACAGACTGCAGCCTGCCAGGCTCCTCTGTCCATGGAGTTCTCCCGGCAAGAACACTGGAGTGAATAGCCACTGGCTTCCCTGGCGGCTCAGACAATAAAAAATCTGCTGCAATGCAGAAGACTTGGGTCTGATCCTGGTGTCAGGAGAAAGGAATGGCTACCTACTCCAGTATTCTTGCCTGGAGAATTCCATAGACAGAGGAGCCTGGCAAGCTACAGTCCATGTGGTCACAAAGAGTTAAACTTGACTGAGGGACGAAATCTAAATGTAATTGTCAATTTAATTCTATCCAAGGGGCACACAGAAAAGTGATAGATTTTGCTTTTTAAAAATGAAAACTTTCTGTATGGCAAAAGAAGGAAAAGTAGCCATGAGTTTTATTTTTAGGCACTAGCAGCTGACTCTGGGCAAAAAGATCTGAAGAGAAACTTATTAAAAATATCTCAGGCAGTCCATATCATTTTCAGGAGATATAGACAATCAGGCTAAGGCACTGGGAATGATATAGAATCACTGGTAGACCAGCACTGATGAGGAAACAGCCTCGCCAAACACCCTTGCTACAGCCTCGCCAAGCACTAAAAAATGCTATCAAGATCCCTTCCTCAGCAAGGCCACTGCTGTGCCAGGACTGCCCTGCCTGAAAGCTGGATGCCTCGGCCACCAACCCTTGGGGTTCTGTGTGCAGAATCTTTCCTTAAGTTGCTCACTTTTGAAAAACTGGTTTTGTACTGATGAGTCTGATTAGTAACACTAGATCCCAGGTTTGCACTCTGTGTGCAAAAAAAGGCAAGTATTACAAAATGAAGTAAACGTCAACAAAATGAAAAGGCAACCCATTGAAAGGGAGAAGATATTTGCAAGTCATACACCTGATAAGGGGTTAATCCAAATTATATAAGGAACTCAGTAACAAATAACTAAAACTCATAACTCAATAACAAAAAAACTAAAAATATGATTTAAAAAATGGGCAGTCTGAATAGACATGTTTCCAAACAAGACATGAAAGGATGCCCAACACTAATCATCAGGGAAATGCAAATCAACCCACAATGAGGTGTTACTTCACATCTATTAGAAGTGCTATCAACAGTAAGACAAGAAATAACTAGCATTAGCAAAGATGTGAAGAAAAGGGAATCCTCATGGGATTGCTGGTGGGGATGTGAATTGATGCAGCCATTATGGAGAATAGTATGAAGGTTCCTCAAAAAACAAGAAATAGAATTAACATACTACCCAGCAAATCCACCTCCGAGTATTTATTCAAAAACTATGAAAGCTCTAATTCAAAAAGCTATATGCACCCTATGGTCACTGGAGCATTATTTATCAAGAGTCAAGATATGGAAACAACCTAAATAACTTACATGTCCATATATGGATGAATGGATAAAGCAGCTGCATTATATATATATATATATGTATGGAATATATATATGTATATATGTATACATATATATACATGTATATATATACATATACATAAATACATATATATATATGATGGAATACCACCCAGTCATAAAAAGATTGAAATCTTGCCATTTGTGACATGTGGAAGGACCTTGAATGTATTATGCTAAATTAGCATAATAAGTCAGACAGAGAAAGACAAATACTCTATGGTTTCACTTATATGTGGAATCTAAAAAACAGAATAAATGAACAAACCAAACCAAGCAAGTGAGCTTCCAGGAAGTCTCACTGGTAAAGAATCTGCCTGCAATGCAGGAGACATAGGAGACAGGGGTTCCATCCCTGGGTCAGGAAGATACCCTAGAGGAGGAAACGGCAACCCACTCCAGCATTCTTGCCTAGAATATCCCATGGACAGAGGAGCCTGGTGGACTACAGACCAAAGGGGCACAAAGAGTCTGACACGACTGAGCACAAACCAAATCAACAGAAACAGAGAACACATCGGTTGTTGCCACAGAGAAGGGCTGCGAGGTAGATGCAATGGGTGAAGGAGGTCAACAGGTACAAATTTCCGATTATAAGATAAGTTAGTTATAGGGTATGTAATGAATAGCACAGTGACTATAATTAATGTATGAATATTTGAAAGTTGCTAAGTGAATAAATCTTAAAAGTTCTCATCACAAGAAAAAAGAAATGTAACTTTGCATGGTGATAAAATTAGACTTATATATTGACCATTCTGCAGTATGTGAATCATTATATTATACACCTGAAACTAGTATCATATGTCAGTTATGCGTGATAAGTCATTCAGTTGTGTCTGAATTTTTGTGACCCCATGGTCTGTAGCCCTCCTCTGTTCATGGACTTTTCCAGGAAAGAATACTGGAGCGGGTTGCCATTTCCTTCTCCAGGGGATCTTCCTGATCCAGGGACCAAACACATGTCTCTTGCATCTACTGCATTGGGAGGCGGATTCTTTACCACTGAGCCACCTAGGAAGCCCATGACACATGGCAAAAAAGGCAAGTGTTTTGGATTCTGCTTTGGACTTCCTAAAAAATGAAGGGTAAAAAATCACTCCAAATCACATATATGTTCAAAAAATATTGGGCAGTCAGAAAACATAATGATGCCCAGGATGAGCAATAAAAGAAAAACAACAGATTGGTAAGAAATATTTGCAATGAATATGATTTAAAAGAGGCCTGGGAGGTTTATATCCCTAATGGCTTTAAAAAAACCCCAACATTTATGATAAGAAAAATTGACAACCTGATGTAAACACAGCCAAAAGATAACAAAAAGCCATGTAAAAAAATACAAATAGCCAACAAACTTATGAAAAGATGCTCGACTTCAAGAGCAGTGAGAAAAATAAAAATAAAAGCCAGAAGATATCATTTTTACCCAGTATATTGGCAAGATTTAAAAAGACTAGTAACTTTTGGTAGGAGTACCAGAAAATATGCACTCTTACATACTGCAGGTAGAAGTGTGAATCTTTATAACTTTATATCCAGGGAGAACTGGGTATTATATTTAACACTAAAAACATGTAACTTATGACTCAACAAAAATTCACCTTTTGGTATGTTATACAAAAATGAAACATCAGTAGGTAAAATTTATGTACAAGGAATTTTTTAATAATATTGTCTGTAGTGTCAATACCTGAAAATTTTAATGCCCATCAGTAGAATGGTTGAATAAAATGGCTGAATAATAAAAAAAATAAAATGGCTGAATATAGTATATCTACACTAGATGGCATGCAATTATTGAAAAGAAAGTATTAGAATAGCATGTAAGCTCCAGAAGCTTGTTTTTCTTATTCACTGTTATATTGCCAGTACCTGGCATATAGCAGTTACTCAATTTACTGTTTTGACTTTGAAGGAAAGCTGTTAAGTTTTTTGAATAAAAGCAACAGTTTAAGAGTAATATATATGAAAAAAACAAAAAACTTTACACAAACATAAAGAAAAGTATGGAAGAACACATACCAAACTGTTGCCAACAGTCACCTAAGAAGTGATAGTTGTAGGCTTGTGAGAAGAGGTTGAGAGGGTTGAATTAGATTGGGGTATAGAAAGATTGTTGACTCTGTGAATTGTTCTTTGCTGTTCAGATTGTTGCAATAAACATTTCTCTTATTGCGACACTTCTTTTAAGCTATTGCTCTGTTTTCTTAAATGGTTTCTTGAAAGAGGAGTCTATCTTGTTTCACTTCTCTGTCTTCCAGTTATTCTTCTATATCTGGCTCCTACTCCTAACACTCAACTGAAAGTATCCCAATTCCCAAAATCAAGTGGACATAGTCCCACCCTCATAGAATCAACAGACTGAAAGGAGAGATGTTAAGATATTAATGCACCGTGAATGTTATGAAAAAATACAGGGCGCTAATACTGAAGTATATAGTAGGCAGACCTACTCTAACAGCTGTGGGATGAAAGGTTAATGCAGAAAGAACATTTAGGTTCAAATCTAAAAGCTGAGTAGGAGTCAGCTGGAAAAAAAGCATACTGGTAAATGCTTAATAACTGAAACCCCTTCCTCCCCACAAAGCCCTGATTTGTAGCATTTGATGATTTCCAGGGTGGATTTCAAACTGCCAACAGTTTAACAGCCAGCAAAGATTCCTGAAAATTTAGCAGTTGGGCTGTCCTGAGCTGGCTCCAGCATGACACTGGAAAGACTATTTTTTTAAGGTGGAGAAAATGGCAAGTTTAAAGTCGTTAAGGTGAGAATGGAAAGGACATCCCATTGAAGAAAAGTAATGAGGTTCATGGGACTTCTCTGGCAGTCCAGTCACTACCTGCACAGTGCTGCCAAAAAAAAAAAAAAAAAGTAAGAAGGTTCAGGGTGACCAGAGTCAATGGGCCAATGGGTCTGATGAAGTTGGGGAGTTAAACTGAACTTTGGAGGTCAAAAGTCAAAATTTTTTATCTTAATCTCACACTGCTCTAGACTGATCAGTATTTTGAGCTAAGGGCAGTTGGAAGACATTGAAGAGATTTAAACAAAGGAAAGATGTGATTAGAGTCATATTTTTAAAAGTTCACTTCTTCTGTAGTGTGGAGAATGAAGTGAGGGGCTGTAGAGACTGGTTAAGAGAGATGGTACTACTGTAATACAAGAA